ATATAAGATCCACTAGATCAATAAAATGAGGGGGTTGCACTAGAACATTTCCCAATGTTTTCTATGGCTCAAAAGCTCTTAAGTGAACATGTTGCTTTTAAATTAGGGTGTTACCTGCTTCCACCACAAGGTGGCAGCAAAGCACAGCCCTCTGCCGGGCTCTGCCATTCCAGCCTCGGCTGCAGCTGTCCCAGGCAGAGCCAGGAGCCCTGATGACCCACACTTTTACCCCTCCTCCTGCACAGGAGGAGACCAAGCAAAGGAAGGACACAGAACCATTCAACGCCACATGATTATGCAGTGGAAATCCTGCTCTCCTGACTCCCGGACCCAAGTGCAGTACCACGGTCTGGGGGATGCTCACTCGCCCTCTGAAATCCTGGCTACATTTTCCAAACTGGTACCCAGTTCTCTGGTCTTGGGAAACCTCTCAGCAGCTGGGAAATGTGTTCATTTCTCTGGTCCTTTGATGCCCAGTTTTCTCACTGGCCCAATATGAAGACTGAAAAGGCTTTTTGGTGCTGTCTTTTGAAAGCTAGAGCTTGGGCTCAGGGGCCCATCCAGAGAGAGCCGCACATGTAAATCCTATGGGATGTGATTCCAAAAGGCCCCAGAAAGCCCCTCATCTCAAAAATATCTCCTGCACTTCCTGTGATTTGCTACCTATTCAGGTTTACTGAAGTACAATAAGCATAAATTCATTTTGGTTAACAAATGAAAGGGTCAGAAAAGCCTACAACCTTATAAATCCTCATGGGAAGTCATTCACACTTTAGCATGAGTTATTTCATCAGATTCTTTCCTCTAGCAAACATCTAGTTGAAGTCAGCTGCACTGAGCTGGAAGGAGTGATGGTGTGGGGAGGACAAAGGACACTTGGAAGGCAAAAAAGATTTTGGAGAATAGGTCTGTATGGAGGGGTGAAGATGGGCCTTTTCAGAGAGAAGTAACAAAACCATTTTTTTCTCCACTTTGTAATTTTTCTTGGGGCTGACCAAGGCCTAGGACCATGTTCTCAGCACGAGCCTTTTTAACTCAAGATGAGCAGTAGTGAAACCATTTCTGCCTGTTTTTGTCTGAAGTCTTTGAAGGACATTCACCACCTTTATCTTATCCTTCTGGTGTCCCACAGGGACAAGCACTAGGCGGCAGTGTATCACTTCTTTTAGGCATGAAGTTTCAGTGACTTGCCACAAAATTCTGTGCCGCCCTGTGTGTCGGACGGGCCTCACCGAGACCCCGTCCCTCTCCTGCGCTGTGTCTTTATCTGCTGTTGTCTGATCTTCTCTGCCAAGTTGGGAGCCTCCTGCAGAAATACAGTCCGGAAACCTTTCCTCTTCGTTTAAGGTTGTGCTCTGCATCCCCTCCAGCTCTGCCGTGGGTCTAACCCAGGCCTCCGTCCCCTTCACAGCCGTCCTCGTTCAGTCCCAAGGTCCTCTTTTAAGTTGTAATCCACCAACACGGCAGTCAGCAGAGCAGAGAGGAGCCGTGCGGTTTGTGGGCACAGCAGAGGTGCCGGGTTACCTTGGCAGACTGGGGCCTGCGTTTCCGTCCCCTGGAGGGGGCTGGGCCTCCCGGACTCACCCCTGGGCCCTGGGTGTGCAGGGCTCCTTGTCAGTGGGTTGACCTCCCTGGAGAGAGGTTAGAACTTTGAGCGCACAGACCATGGGGCTGGGAGCCGTCCACCCGGCCTGCGGCCGAGGGGAGGTGAGCGGGCTGCTTCCTGGAATCCTTTCCCAGCCCCCTGCGTCGCTTTTGTCTCACGTGACGTTTCCCATCACGAGGCTGGTTGTCTGGTCTCCACTAAGTGCAGGACTGAGTGAGTCCGGGTCCCCTGGGAGGCGGCCGTCCTTCTCAGAGCAGCCACTAGGTGGCAGGCCTGGGACTTAGGTCGGAGCCGAGGGAGAGGGGAGGTGGGCGATGGGGAAAGGAAGCCTGAGTGTGCGGGCCTGTAAGACTGGGGTAGGGGGGTGGGTAGGGACCTTTCCCAGCCCTCCCTGTACCTACCAGGCTGCCGGCTTCCCTGCCCGGGGCCTGAGCTCGTTGTCCTCCAAACACACTGTGGTCCTGGGAGGTAAGGGCCACCGGGAGTGTGGTCCACCTGCGTCTCCCTCGCTCTGACT